TGTGAAGTGTGAGGGTGTTATTGCTGCTAAGATTTTCTGAACTCAGGAAACCCATAGGCACATGTGTTAGTTCTTAGTTCTCTTTTTGTGTGTTTGTTTGTTTGTTTGTTTGTTTGTTTGACAAGGGTATCTGTGGCTGTCCTGGTGTGGCACTACCTCATAGTGGTTATTTTTTTTTTCTTTTTTGAAACCATCATGTGGGTGCTGGGACCCAAACAAGTGTTCTTAACTGCTGAGCCATCTCTCCGGGTCTAGCAAACAATAATAAATACTTTAAAAAGACTTCTAAGAGCTGCTTGGGAAAAGAAATGTAAGTGATATATATACTAGGCATATACCAGGGTAAGACGTGTAGATTTGCTTGTTTACCTTTTTGAGATCTAGTGATTTCTTAAGAGTCCTACTAATGAATTTTTTTTTTCTAGAGACTTTTTCCTCTCATGTCACACCACTGTGGTGGTGGGTGAGTTCCTATTGCTTGGGATATGTGTTTGATTTAGACATGGAAGGGTATGTGGTATATTTAGATCACTATTGAGCACTATTGAGTCCTCAGAGCTGGAGGCCATGGGTAGAGGTAGATATTGAGATGCCGAATTGCTCTTTTGTTTTTCAGGGTCCCAAAAAGGTGGGGATGCTGTGGCGAGAGGCTGGTCTGAGCTGGAGGGAATTTCTAGCAGAAGGCCAAGATGTTAACTCATTTGTAACTGAACAGGTTTGAGACTAGTTTATTCTGCATTTGGAGCTAGCTTCTTACATCTTTCCTTCCTCTTTACTCTGTAGTCTTGCTTGACCTTGGTTGTTGGTCATTTGCTTATAGAAGGTAGAATATACCCTGGGAGAAGAGTCTGAAGCTCCTGGCCAGAGGGCGCTTGCCTTTGAGGAGCTGCGTAGGCAGCTGGAGAAGCTGCTGAAGGAGGGCAGCAGTAACCAGCGGGTGTTTGACTGGATAGAGGTATGTTTCTCCTGGAAAATGGGAAGTAGAGAGATAGTTTTAAGATGGGATAGATGTTTTGGGAGGTGACAAGAGTGGGTACTTGGAGGCATAATTTATAACTTAGGAGCCTTTGTTTTTCTGCACAGGCCAACCTGAATGAGCAGCAGATAGCATCCAATACATTAGTTCGAGCCCTCATGACGGCTGTCTGTCATTCTGCAATTATCTGTAAGGAGCAAGGGAGAGGCAAATGGAGGGAGAGGGGTTTTGATCTTAGCCTTCTGGGGCTAAGCCAGGTGAAGTCTGCAGTATTACATTTATCCTTGTCTTCTCCTGTAGTCGAGACTCCTCTCCGAGTGGATGTTACAGTGTTGAAACTGCGAGCGAGACTGCTGCAGAAATACTTGTGTGACGAACAGAAGGAGCTACAAGCACTCTACGCCCTCCAGGCCCTTGTAGTGACCTTAGAACAGCCTGCCAGTAAGAGCCAGGCTGCAGGGATGGGTGGGGCAAAGGGACTGCCAGATAGAAGAGGGTGGTCATGGAAGGTACTCAACCTAAGAAAGGTGGGTAAAGAACAAAATGACCCTACCCAGTGCATGTTTCCTTGCCTGCAAATGGAATGAGTTAATCTAAGCCTTGAGGTTTGATATCCTGCCGGCTTTGTGCTTGGCCAACAGGTGACAGCAGCACACAGGTGATCAACAGTAGTATCTTTCAGACAAGGTGTGCCCACTGTGTCTGGCACAGATCTGAAATGCTTTGCTTACCTTGCCTTCTTATCTAAAAGCCTTTGTAGGTTTATAAATTCAGCACGTGGGTATGTTCAGGTGTTTCGGAACTGTAGTGAGGAAATAGCATAATTCTGTGCTGGCCTGGCGTCAGTAACTCTGTCAGAAGATTAGTCTGAGAGGTGATGGGTAGGAATTGTTAGACTGACAGTGAGCAGGTGGGCCCTGAGTCGGAATAAAAGAACTGCTGGAGGAAGAGAGTTGGGACAGGGACTAGAGGCAGGGCAGATACGGCAGGCCATGTAAGTAGTGGCAGGGACTTTGCTTTGAGTGAAATAAGGCTTTGTAGGATTGTAAGCAAAGAATTAGCTGAGCATGGTGCCACACCCTGTGATCCTGACACCAGAGGCCCACCTATGCTGATTAGGCCATTTCAGAGAATTCCCACCCTAGCCCTCTGTCTTTCTGGAGACAGAAAGGTAGGTCTGTGAGTTCAAGACAGGGCTACAAACAGAACACCAAAACAGCATTTGAAGCATAAGTACCTTTAAAATATCGTCAGTTAGCTGTTTAATTCTGCTTTACAGTGGGAAAGGACTAAGGTTTTTTTGTTAGAAAGGTGCTGCTGAGGATAATGGAATTGCCTCAAGAGGAATAAGAACACTGGGGAAATAGAGAACACGGGCAGGGCCATATGAGCAAAGGAGAAAATTTGGTATAGGGAAGTGTTTGAAATGATGAATGCGACAGAGTTTGGTAGGAGCCTATCTAAAAATTTGACTGGACTATAGGATAGTGAAAGATCGCTAGATAGCTTTTTTGGGGGGGGGTTGTTTGTTTGTTTTGGTTTGGTTTTTGAAACAGGGTTTCACTGTAGCTTTAGAGTCTGTCCTGGAACTAGGTCTTATTGACCAGGCTGGCCTCAAAATCAGAGATCTGCCTGCCTCTGCCTACTAAGTGCAGGGACTGAAAGGCATGTGCCACCACCACCCAGTGAAAGATAAATAACTTTTATGTTTAAATTAGACAAACGTGGGCTTAAATGTAGGGCAAAGTAGATGAGCAATTGCACAGAGTTCTCAGATTGTGCATGGGCTTTAGAGCACCAATGTGGGCTAAGTGAAGGGTTAGCTGTGCCACAGCAGGTGGAATGGCCTAGCTTCTCATAGCTGGTAAGCCATTGCTGATGTCATGGTGCTGGACTTGGGGTCCTTGTGCTTTGTTCAGTTGCTGCAGTGTGCATAGTGGGAAGGAAAGTGTTCTTGATGGCCAGAGACAAGGCTCAGGCAGTAACTGTGAACTCTGACAGTGAGCACTGCCTAGAGGCCAGAGAGAGGTCATGGGTGTTTGTCAGGGTTGGATGCAGGTTGGACTGGCCTCAGACTAATTACGTAGTTTAGGCTTGCCTTAGCATTTGAACCTCTTGCCTCTGTATCCCAAGTAATGAGATTGCAGTTGTGAACCACCATACCTTACCTTTTTCCTTTCATTTCTCTCCTTGAACTCTACATTTGATGTTAGCCACAAAGTGGAGAATTGATTATTCTTTTTCTTTTTTTAAGATTTATTTATTTTTTATGTATACAGTATTCTCAGTATTCTGTCTGCATGTGTGCCTGCAGACCAGAGGAGGGCACCAGATCTCTTTACAGATCTGTGAGCCACCGTGTAGTTGCTGGGAATTGAACTCAGGATCTTTGGAAGAGCAGGCAGTGCTCTTAATCATTGAGCCATCTTCCAGCCCCGAATTGATTATTCTTTTCCCTCCCCTTTTCTCTCTTGAGATATGGTCTCACTGTAGCTGGTTTAGAACAATCTATACTAGCCTAAAATGCAGAAATCTGCTTGCCTCTGCCTCCTGGGTTTGGGACTAAAGGCGTGCACCCCCACACCTGGCCTCATTTCCCCGTTTTCAGACAGTTCTGCTAAGCTGCTAGAACTGGCCCTGAACTTCTGATCCTTAGATCTTTCTGCCTCAGGCTTCTAAATATTTGGGGTTATACGCCTGTTTTTTGTTTGTTTTTCCCCCATTCCCATTCCCCTTCCCTTCTCCCCTCTTCATGCCTGTTCCTAAGGATTGCTGGTGGCCAAGTAACTCATTCTTAGTCTCTTTATGTCATGAAATTAGCATTCTGTCAGGGCTAGTCACTCTGGACACCACAATGGTAGGTCAGGACTTAGTAGTTTTACAGTGTCTCTTTGGGAGGGATCTCTGGGTACAGACTAGTCACCTAATTGATGTCTTTGTGGCTTGCAGACCTGCTTCGAATGTTCTTTGATGCTCTGTATGATGAGGACGTGGTGAAGGAAGACGCTTTCTACAGCTGGGAGAGCAGCAAGGACCCTGCTGAGCAGCAGGGCAAGGGTGTGGCCCTTAAATCTGTCACAGCCTTCTTCAATTGGCTTCGTGAGGCTGAGGAGGAGGAGTCTGATCACAACTGATGGCGGGTGGGGCCGGGGACTTGGAGCCATGGACACGTGGATAGCCCAGCCAGCCAGCCGCCTGGACTGCAGGGGGGCGGCGGCAGCAGTGGCGGCAGTGGCAGTGGGTGCCTGTAGTGCGATGTGTCTGAGCTAATAAAGTGGCTGATGAGGCAGGATGGCTTGGGGCTGCCTGGGGCCCCCCTCCAGGATGCTGCCAAGTGTCCCTCTCCTCCCCCCGGGGCACAGAGATATATATAAAGTCTTGAAATTTGGTGTGTCTTTGCAGGGGGGAGGGGCACTACCGCCTGCCTCTAGGGTCCTTTTTTATTTTCTGAAATCACTCTTGGGACTGCCGTCCTCGCTGCTGGGGGCATATGCCCCAGCCCCTGCACCACCCCTGCTGCTGCCTGGGCAGGGGAAAGGGGGGGCACGGTGCCTGTAATTATTAAACATGAATTCAATTAATTTCACTGCCTCTTTAATGATCTGCCTCCTTGGAGGAGTATGGAAAGATGGACAGCGTTCTTTCCAGACTTGGTGTTATATCAGTGTTGGTACCTGTCTCCTTCCCGGTCAATGATTTGGGGCGGGATCGGGGGGTGGACCCAAGGAATTGTTTGTTTTTGTGGAGGATTAGGCTCTTACTGGTTTGACATGGAAGATGAGTGCTGTAGAATGCTACCAGGGTGATTCAGGCCCTGGGTTTGAGGCCCTTACAGCTATAGAAGCTATAAAGGGGATGTCCTATGTAAAATGACCGCATGGCCTACCGGCTTTTGCCTCCAGTGTGGCTCCGCAGTAGACTGGAGATGCAGGCTGTTTGAAGACCTAGGCTGCTACTGAGTGGCTGTGACGTATGCTTGCCCCGCCTGCTCTGGGTGGGCACGGCCCCGCGCTTACGTCACCGGCCCTGTTCCCCTCTCCCGGGAGCGGCAGCAGACGCGCTGCTCCCACCCCCTCCCCTTCTCACAGGCTGTCCCCTCCCTGGTGGTGACCGCTGCCCGACCCTCTGCAAGGCGATGGCCCGGGTCCCGAGCGCGGGCTAGCGTGCCTGGGTGCTCTGCCATGGGCTATATTGGCTCTCGGCGCCCAGCCGGTCAGGGTAAGAGACAGAGGCCGGAGCATGGACAGGGAGTCGGGCAACAGCTGCCCGGTGGGGCCGTGGGTGGTAGGGGCCGTGAGGAGGGGGCTGGTATAGGAGAGGGAGGAGCCTGCGCCAGGGAGGCGGTTCGGGCTAGATGAGCGAACCGGGAGGGGGCTCACCGACTCTGGCTTGTTTCTGTGGCCTGCCTTTGGGTTTTTCCGTGCTATACTCACCTTCCGTCTGTATTCCTTCTGCTGAGGGTGGCTGCAGGGGCACAGCCTAGGATTCGCTGGGCAACCTGCGCCCACCACCTTCCTGGCTTCTGGCAGCTAGCCTTTTGTATCTACATACTCCTCTGCCTACACCAACCTCTCATCTCACTGACTTAGGAGTGGCTCTTTGCTGTGAACCTACCTCTCCCAGCTGGGTGCTGGCATCCTCAGGAGTCAGTCTGCAAATACTGGCCAAGTACCTTTCCACGGAGTTTTTAACCTAATACTTGCTCCTGCTTAAGAACCAGCTGGTTGATTAAAGGGGATTGGAAGCCCCATGTGTAGCACCTGTGAGCAAACTGATAAATCCCTCGTGCTCACAGATCATTTTATTCAGATTAACCCTCTCCCCAAATTACCCTTACTCTGCGGAGAAAGGTCCAGACAGTCGACCCTTGCTCAGGCCTTGGTTTTCCTGTGGACACGTGGGCGCCCTGCTTTAGCCCTAGGTGTCTGAGGTCTGCCAGCTTACCTTACTTCTGTGTCAAGGAATGGTCAGTCACAAAGCATTGGTGTGGTTGATATTTGAGGTGTTTTACAACTAAATTCGGGCTGAGATTTGCACTGCCCTTAATGAATTCTGGGATTTGTAGTCCCAGGATTAACCTCGTGGGTTATGAATTTGAGAAGCAGTAGGGTGGAGTGATTTCCCTGGTCTGCTTGGAGTTCAGAAAGTCATCCCCTTCTGTAGTCAGGAAAGTTTGCCTGGTCTCAGGGCAAGCCTTGAGAGCCCTGATTAGGTACCCGCGGGGTGGGGGGTGGGGGTTCAGGGATAGCCAGTAACCTGTGTTCTTTCTGGTTGGTAGCATTTCTGGGGACCACTACCCGACTGAAGCTCAGGGACAGAGCCGACTGCTCCAGTTAAAAGGTTAGTTGCTAAGTACATGGCCAGTTGGCACTGTGTAAACTAAGGATGAGCTGCAGCTCCACAAGCCCCAGAGAACTTGGCTAGGCCCCGGCACTCCCACTTCCTTAAAGCTATGAGACAGGCAGGAGTGTTCTCCTTATGTGACTAGGCACAAGTTCCAAGTGGGGAGGGGACTGGCTCAGCATCCGGAGCCAAAACAAGAATAGAACTGGGAGCTGAGCCTGAAGCAGTTCGGGCTTTGGGTTCTCTGCATCAACACAGCCAGCATGCCTATGATTTCTGTGCTGGGCAAAATGTTTTTGTGGCAGCGTGAAGGGCCTGGAGGAAGATGGACTTGTCAGACAAGTCGCAGAGGTGAGACCAGAGGCCATGGATGGATGCGATCTGGGAGGTGATGGGAAGGAAGCTGAGGAGGAAGGCACACCAGACACTGTACCGAGAGGAAAATCACTGTGGTGTAGATATTGGGAACCAGGCTGAAGTAGGAAGATTCAGGCTGGGGCTTTTAGGAAATGACTTACAAGGGTGAACACTTAAATAAAAAACAAAAATGACAGGTTTGTTGAAAAAGAATAGTGATAGAGCAGTTGAGGTTGGTGAGAGGAAAGAATCAAGGGAGTTGGAGGGGAGAAGGAAACTGGGAAGATGGGCAGTGTTGGTGGGAGAATTTCATGTACTTTCTAAGGGCTGAGAGACGGGGAAGATTCAGAATTTACCCACGTTTGGGCTTCACGTTACGTTCTGATGGCAAAATATTTGTAGAAGAAGGAGTTCATTGGATTGCCACAAAAGGGCCCCAAGTCCGAGCTGTGGGAGGACATGGTGGCCTCAGATTGTCTGAGAGAGGGGGAGGCTGGTAAAAATGACATGGCAACATGATGAAAATGAGACTCTTGGTAGAAGTGGGGATCCAGATGGACACCTTTTCCTCCGACTCCTCAGTGGCTTCGGACCCTGCCTGGGCTGTGGAGTGGATCGAACTCCCTCGAGGTCTTTCTCTGTCTTCCTTGGGATCTGCTCGGACTCTCCGAGGCTGGAGCCGGTCCCCTCGTCCTTCTTCCGTAGACAGCCAGGACTTGCCAGAGGTGCTGGGCCTTTTCTGTGCGTGTATGTGTGTGTGTGTGTCGGGGGCGGGGTTCACATTTAGGGTTCGTGTGACCCCCTCCCTGTTCCTGCCTCACCATCCTGCTTCGGACTCTTTTTCCTGCAAGCGGAGGCGCTATCCGGCAGGCCGCCCCCGCGCCGGTCTGCTCTGCTCGGCTAGGTTCCAGCGGGCTGGCTTGCTAGCGCCTTCGGTGCTGACGTCAGCGCATCCCAGGCCGTATCCCGGGAGACCCTGTTGCATGGTGATGGGTTGCCACGGAGATATACACCTTTTCTCTGGGCCAGGGCCGCAGCTGCGCGGAGCGTCGCCCTGCATGGATGGCAGCGGCTGGGGGAAGCGAGGGAAGGGAGGGAGAGCAAGCCAGGAAACACCCGGCAGGTTCTCCTTCCCACAGGCCTGGCCAGAGGCTATCGGCGCCAATCTGGAGGCCCTGTCAGCCAGATACTGAAGGAGAGGGTCGGACTGATGGGCCTGAGGCCTCTTGTGCCAGGTGGAACCAACCATGATGGAGAAGAATTAGGTAATGCTGGGAAGGGGGTGTGTGCATAAATTATTTTCAGCAAAGAAAAACATTTGCTGGGGCTTGTCAAGGAGTATTAAATCAGGTACAGGATGGAGTTAGGAGCCCAGATGGATTAAACTCTGACGCTGCCATCTCCTGCTCCCTTGGGAGTACCACAAAGGCAGTATGGAATCGAGCAGCGTGCATCTGGGGCTGGGGGTGTCAAAGAAAAAAAAAAAGTAAGTCTATTATGAAGTGACACTTGTGACCTTAAATGATAGGGAGCGTTTTGCAAGGCAAGGATGGCCTTCTTGGCCTAAAAAGCTAGTTCCTTTCCCTGGAGGCAGGCTGCTTGTTGACAGGGCGGGGAAGGTAGGGGAGCCGGATAGTATTGGTCAGAGATGAGGGATGAACTTGAAGGAGGTCCAGAGAGAGGCAGAGGCTTCCCTATGGAGTCCTTAAGTGCCTGAGTAATAGAGGGAGAGCCTAGAAAGGCAATATTATTTCTTAAAAGAAAACTTTAAAAATTTTAAATTATCTTTATGTGTATGTGTCTGCCTATGGATGCGCCCTTGGAGCCTAGAGGTGCTGGGTCTCCTGAAGCTGGATTAGCAGGTGGTTGTGGAGCTAGGAACCAAACTTGGGTCCTCTGTAAGAGCAGCAAATGCTCTTAACCACGTAGTCGTTTCTCCATCTCTCTAAAGAGTTTTTTTTCCCCTAAAACACACGACCAAAAATCAATTTTTAAGATTAAATTTTACTTAGCATATAGAATATTGGCCTTCATTATGACATTTTCATGCACAGGCATCACTGTACAGAATTTGAAATGGCATTTTGATTCACTGTATTCTTGGGAAACTGTACATTTATACCTTATCTGTTCATTCAGCCCATACATTTACTTATTCCCAGGTACTGTTTAAACACTGGGATGACGCAGTGACCCTAACAGACTGAATTCCTCAAAGAGATAAAGACCAACAAAGGAAATCATATTTACACCTGGCAAGCTGGCTCCGTTAATGGTACACTGATAGAAAATAATGATTTATTGGAGACCACAGTTAGAGGACAGACCACCATTTGAGTAACTACGAAGGCTTCTCTAAGGGGGTAATGTTTCAGTCAACACTGGAAAGATGAGAAAGCCAGCAATGGGAACAAAAGAGATTTTATACACAGACTTCTGGGCTGAAGTAGTGTGGAAGGTTAGGAACCCGTGCTAACCTGGGGAAGGTCACTGAGGGCTTAAGGGAAGTGTCAGTAGGAACAGAAAAGACAGAAACAGGGTCAGGGAATGATTCGAGGTATAATCCATAAGGATCCTTTGTTGTTGGCAATGATAACTGTTTGTTTTGAGATAGGGTCTTATGTAGCCAAGGATGACCTTAACCTTCTGATCCTCCTGCCTTCATCTCCCAGCACCTGGAAGCGTCATATACCAGGTATCAGATGCTACTGGTCAGACACCATGCTTCCTGAATGGGAGGCGAGCCCTGTACCGACTGGGTTCCATCCTGACCCCTCACTAGGTTTAAGAGTAGATACATGCAGGCAAAGCTTAGGGGAGAGTGGGTGGTAATCCTGAGATAGGGATCCCAGTGAGATCGAGAATGTGGGGGAAGTTGGAAAGCCAAGCCTCATGTGGGGAAGAGAATGTTTGTTTTGGCGTTGGTTATGCTGAATGTTTGGTTCTGGTAGGCCACCTAGAAAGAGCTGGGACGTACATCTAACAGACAGAGGAGCGGGAAGAACCTCAAGGATGTCTTTGCCTTAGCTGTCTCCCTTCCTTCCTTTCCCGTTTTTTTTTTCTTTTTCTTTTTTTTTCTAGACAGGGTTTCTTTGTGTATCTCTGACTGTCCTGGAACTCACTCTGTAGACCAGCCTGGCCTCAAGTTCAGAGATCCCCCTGCCTCTGCCTCCTGAGTGCTGGGATTAAATGCGTGCGCCACCGGTCTTCAGAGGCTCTCCTCATGGTTCTTCTTCAGCTGTCTCCTTCCCTGCTGGGAGCTGGGAAGGTGGAGGCTTGGCTGTAGTTCTGTTCCCTTGGGTTTGAGTTTCCACCGCTCCCTAGGAGGACAGTTGGTGGACTCCGGCTTCTTAGCCTTTGCTGCATGCCACCAGCCACTAGGCTGGATGTGCAGTCCTGCATTCTTCCAGCTCCCAGCTCCCGCCGATACCTTGGAATAGGCAGGAGCATGTTGGAAAGAAGGTCATGACTGTCAGAGGGGCACTGACCTTCTGGTGGTGTTACTCAAGGTGAATGTTGGAGACACAGTCGCGATGCTGCCCAAGTCCCGGAGAGCCCTAACCATCCAGGAGATTGCTGCGCTGGCCAGATCTTCCCTGCATGGTATGCACCCCACTTCTGTTCATCTGCCCACTTTGTCCTTCCTTGTTTCTTTTCCTCATGTCTTGTGGACATGACATGATTTGATCTATGTGACTATTTCCCGAGGGCAATTTTTTTTTGGGATTTCTTTTTGCACATCAATCCTAGCCCGGCTGGGCAGTAATGGCACACACCTTTAATCCCAGCACTCATAGAGGCAGGCAGATCTCTGAGTTTGAGGCCAGCCTGGTCTATAAAGCAAGTTCCAGAACAGCTCAGGCTACACAAAGAAACCTTGTCTCAAAGAACCAAAGAGAGAGAGAGACAGAGATTCTTTGGGGCTGGAGAGATGGCTCAGTGGTTAAGAGCACTGGCTGTTCTTGCAGAGGACTCGGGTTCAATTCCCAGCTCCCACATGGCAGCTCACAACTGTCTGTAACTCCAGGATCCAGCACCCGCACACAGATATACATGCAGGCAAAACACCAGTGCACACAAAATAAAGATAATTTTAAAACATCAATCCTAGCCCTTCTTCCTACCCAAAGGACATGGAGAGACATTCTAGGCCTCCTCACCTACTTCCCTGCAAGCTACTTCCTAGTCTTAACCCAACTTCTCTTTTCCCACCTCCAGGTATTTCCCAGGTGGTGAAGGACCACGTGACCAAGCCCACAGCCATGGCCCAGGGCCGCGTGGCTCACCTCATCGAATGGAAGGGCTGGAGCAAGCCCAGTGACTCACCTGCAGCTCTGGAATCAGCCTTTTCCTCCTATTCAGACCTCAGTGAGGGCGAACAAGAGGCTCGCTTTGCAGCAGGTGGGTAGCAGAAAGGGAACTAGTCTCACAGATTTGCCTTTGGGGCTGCTGCCTCTGCTCTCTGGAGCTGGCATGGGGGCTGGAATCACATGCCTCCCTCTGCCCAAAGACCTCAGTCACATCTTCTGTCTACAAAGCAAACCCTAGTCTTAGCTTGGCTCCTGTGCCAGTGAATGCCCTCTGAATGTCTCTCTGGTAGGAGTGGCGGAGCAGTTTGCTATTGCAGAAGCTAAGCTCCGAGCGTGGTCTTCCGTGGATGGCGATGACTCCACTGATGACTCCTACGACGAGGACTTCACTGGGGGAACTGACTCAGGTGAGGAACGCTCTGTGCTGTGCCGCCACGTGGGGTGGGCTCGCCTGGTAGGTGTGGTGATGCACTCTGAGCCTCCTAGGGCACCGCAAGCCTTCCAGATCGGAGGAAACAGACTACCTAGGTTGATCTTGACACCCCAAGGACACAGATCACTGTCTACGGGTGGGAAACCAGCAGTTGTAAATGGAGCGGCTGGCTCTTTTCTATGGGTGCTGAATGAGCTTTCTTCTCTCCCTATGTGTAGTGGGTCTTACTGTTCTCAGATTAAAGAAACAAGCCCAGAGAACCTGGGACCTCTTCCCTCCACGCTAGTACACTCATGCTTCCAGAAGGATCTGTGGTATCCTTGCCTTTACCTCTTTGAGGGTGGCTTTGGTTGGCTGTGGCAGGACGGATGAATACAGTACCCACACCTCCCAGGGCAGTGATCCCAAGCAAACAGGAAGGCATGCTGGGTCTAGAGTCTGCAGGATTCTGGCTTCAGCTCAGCATCTTTGTATTCCAGCGTGTGGGTCTTGCTTTGGGCCAGTGCTAGCAACCCTGGGGGCTGTGCAGCTGGCTCAGCTCAGCTTTCATCTTCCATCCCTTGGACTCTGCGGCTAGCTTTCCCTGCAGCTTCTGCTGTCTGGCTTCACAGGACCCCTACCCCCAACCCCCAACCCTTTGCCTTTGAAGATCACCTATTGGTTCCTCCTCCTCTAGCTAATTAACAAGGTTTTCAAGGCCAAACCTTCATTTAAAGCAGGCAAGAAGCTGCACTGTGGTCCAGAGGGGACTCATTTGAATGCTTAAGGCTAAGGTGGAACCCCCAACCACAAGTATTTTCTGATTTTTTTTTTGTCTGTTTTTGAATTTTGTTTTTTGAGAAAATTTTTGAGAAAGGACCTCGCTATAGCTCAGGCTACTTAGTATGTAGCCCAGGCTAACCTTGAAAGTGTGTGTGGAATCTTTGAGCAGATTTTAAAAAATGAAGAACTTTTTTGTTTTTTTCAAGACAGGGTTTCTCTGTAGCTTTGGAGCCTGTCCTGGAACTAGCTCTTGTAGACCAGGCTGGCCTTGAACTCACAGAGATCCACCTGCCTCCGCCTTCCAAGTGCTGGGATCAAAGGTGTGCAGGTGTGCGCCACCACCGCCCGGCCTGTGCGGAGCTTTTCTGATAGACATGGGTCCATGCTTGGGACACCTTATTTCATGAGCAGAGCACAGGTCAGTCAGTCTTCACTGTTTGAGTAACGAGCACCCGGTGTGATCATACAGTGGGCCTGCATTTAGTGCTTGCCTCTGTGCAAACTCTTGTTCTAGGACTATAAAGTAAATATTATTGGAATTTCTAATCTACCATGAAAGGAACTAAGGCATCAAAAATGAAGACCTGTTCAGGTTACCCAGCTTCTACTGACTCCTTGCCCCCACAGTTACGATAAGGGTGGAAGGGGCTGGGAAGTCTGTGGTGGTCATGTGGCTTCCATATTGACCAACTGAAATGAGGTCGGCAAAGCTGTCTCTTTTTTCTTCCCTTCACAGACATGGCTGGGTCTCTGGGGCCCCACCTCCAGGACCTCTTCACAGGTCGTCGGTTCTCCCGGCCCGTGCGTCAGGGCTCCGTGGAGCCTGAGAGCGACTGTTCCCAGACCGTGTCCCCAGATACCCTGTGCTCTAGTCTGTGCAGCCTGGAGGATGGGTTGCTGGGCTCCCCAGCCAGGATGACCTCTCAGATGTTGGGTGAAGAGCTGCTCCTTGCCAGACTGCCCCCCAGCCGGGAAAGTGCCTTCCGCAGCCTGGGCCCTTTGGAGGCCCAGGACTCACTTTACAGTTCACCGCTCACGGAATCCTGCCTTTCCCCTACCGACGAGGAGGAGCCCGATTCGTGCAAGGACTGCCAGCTGCTCTGCCCGCTGCCTGGCGGCAGCTGGGAAAGGCAGCAGCAAGTCTCTGATGTGGCCTCTTCTGGGGTCGTATCCTTAGATGAGGATGAGGTGGAGCCCGAGGACCAGTGATCCAGACATGCCCAGTGGTGGCATGTTTCCCCTGGCTGCTGCCTGGGGCAGAGGCCTCTGTGGCCGAAGTGTGGGCTCGGGAGCTCCGAGGGCTTCTGGGAGCGCTCACTTCTCCATTGTGTGTTTTGCATGAAAGTGTTTGGAGAGGAGGCAGAGGCCAGGCTAGGGGCGCATGTACTGCTTCCACTCTTGGGGGTTTGCCGGGGCTTGCCCGGGACCCCTGGGGCATGGCTACAGCTGTGGCAGACAGTGACGTTCATGTTTCTTGAATCCAAAATGCCACATTTCCTCCTGGGATGTGAACCTGGGCTGGGAGGGTGGGAATGGAGGAAGCCTGGCCATCTCCTCCACCCTTCCTCGTGCCCCTTCTCCTCTGCTTCTCTCTTCACCCAAGTCCACGTGCAGTGCTTGACTGAAGCGCCTCCCCCTGTGGGGCTGGCTCGTGGCCTCCTGGAGTCTACGGATTGAGCCATCCCCTAAGGGTCCCCTACCCACCTGGGCTCCGCTGTGCTTCACCTTGCCATTGTCTCTAAACCTTTTTTCCTAAAGACAGGGGGTTTCTGGTCTGTTCTTTGAGCCGATCTTCTCTGGGAGGCACTGGAATGATGAAAGGGTGTGTCCTCCCCCTCTCCTCTCCTCAGCCTCTCCCTCTCCCAGCATGGCAAGGTCCTGTGGGCACAGAGTTCTCAGTAGGGTGGAACTGGACAAAGGAATGGGTCTGGCTGTCAGAGCTGGGAGTGCCACAAGGGGGCCACCTGGGCAGCCATGAGATCTGTGCTGATGAGTGGACAGTCATGAGGGAGTGGCTATCCTTGGGAAAGAGGGCAGTGAGTTTTCTTGGCTGAATGGAAGGTTGTAGCCACAGGGTTAGGTGCCTGATCCAGGCAGGGTGTTACAGATGAGGCAGCGGAGGCCTCTGGCAGATCCTATATTGCTGGGACACTGGGGCTGATAGGCGGCTGTGGACTGAAGTCTCAGGCTTGGGCAGGTAAGAGGATCCAAGAGGAAAACATGAGCCAACAGCACAAGTGTTCTATACATGAGTGGCCAATTAGGTGTTTACTTTATTCTATTTATTGTTTTATTAAATTAATATAAAAATCTTTGTAAATTTCTATATACATCTTGTCATTGGAGGTTCCAGTATAAACCCATTTTAGTTCTGCCCCTTTCTCAAAGAGTGGGCAAGGGCCCCATGGCCCCACCTCATCCTGCCAGGGCACTGCTGAGCCTCTAGCAGGTAGGTGTTGAGTTACATTCCAGGTAGGCCCGCCGGGAGATGGAGGGGCTGGCAGTCCACAGCTAGAGTGGACTTGGGTTCCAGCTTCTGGTTGCTGCTGCTTGCAGAAGGGATATAGGCCACCCAGCGAGGGCTCACTGGCACTTGTCGTCACTGTCAGAAGGGCTGCCCTCTCGTGGGAGGCCATGGCGGGACAGCGGTCCCCAGAGCGCGTGCACTTCAGTGGTCTCTGTGTCGCTGCTGCTGGTGGCACTATCCCGGAAACTGGCAAGGGGTGGCCTGACTTTGACACCCTGTGCCGTGACAGAGCCCTCAATAGCCTTCCGGAGCTGGAAAGGCAAGAGTCAGGCGTCTGCTCTCTGCTGAGACTCCTCCCCAGGACCTCTCCCACCCCCCGGGGGGGGGCGCAGATGTGGAAGTGGCTTTGGTCCTTTCACCTCACCTCCTTTAGGGTCACAATTCCAATGAGTCTGCCAATGCTGGTAACATATGCGTGGTCCACGCCCAGCAGGGAGAAGATGGTATGGGTCTGCAGAGCAGGGAGAGGGGACACTGCACTTGACATTCAAAGGGGCAGTTCAGAATCACAGTCAGAGAGGATCAGGGCAAAATGGGGGGAGGGTGTGGAACAGAAGGGGTGCAGTAGTGGGAGGCACTGCCAGAGGGAAATGCCATGGGAATGTTCCTGCGCCATACTGTGGGTTCCCAAGCCGTGAGATGTGACCACCTTTATATTATCAGCAGTTCCCATTTGCTGTCTCGAAAACAGCTCTCAGCATTTCCTGGAATTTGTTATCTACTGTTCTGGGTGGACTTGGGAGCCTCTTGGCCTAATAGGTGAATCAAGATGGGCAGCACTAACAGCTTCCCGAACACCTAATGTCTCACGTCTTAAATACTGTCTTACACAAATGATGGGAAGGGGCTTACAGAATTTTCCCAATTTCCCCCATCTGGGGCATGGCCATACTTATAAAGAAGCAAGGGTCTCAGTGTTTGGTTCTGAGATCAAAGCCAGAGCGTCATCCATGCTGGGTAATTTGTCTACTCACTGAGCTGTAGCTCCAGTAAATTCGGATTTGTTTCTTTTTGAAGGTCTCACTGCTTAGCCCAGGCTAGCCTTGAACTCATAGTACTGCTCCTGCCTCAGCCTCCTAAGTATTAGGTTACAGGTACGTGCTACCATACCGGTACATCTTAGATACTCAGTTTTCTGGCGGTGCACTCAGGAGGCAGAGGCAGGTAGCTCTCTGAGGCCAGCCTGGTCTATAGACCCAGTTCTTTCTGTCCCAAGAACCATGGCTACACAGAGAAATGCTGTCTCGAAAAACACAAAAAAGAGAAATCCCATTTTTTGAATTTGAAGTCATGTTTTTCCAATGGTCATGTAGTTAGCAATCTTGTTATATAACTTGAACCCTACAAGCTACAGATGAGCCTTAATTTCCCTGTCTTCCCCAGGGGAAACATCTTTCCCATAAGGTATGTTATTTTAATCTCTTAGCTTGTGGTTAAATAATCCATCTCACCTTCTCTCAAGGAGCCCATAAAACAGTTCGTGTCGACGTTTTTTTCCTGCTTATTCCCCACCACAGTGACCTAGCAGGCGATGTGCTTTTATAGGCCTGCGAACAACCTGTTTCTGGCAGTCGCCAAGCTCACTGCTCTCCTTCTGGGACATCTGTGCCTTCTCCCTCGTTCTGCTCCCTGTCTTTATCACCAGGGCTGAGACTCCAGCAGGATGAGGTTTCCTACTTCCTGCCTCCCCCCTTCCAGCTGGACTCTGCCATTCTATGGCTTTCTAAAACTTGAGTGGAACCCAGTACTCCCTAGAATGGCCCATGAGACCCTTTCTTAAGTCAACCCAGACTGGCCTGCCAGCTTACCTTCCTGCTATGCCTAGCTTCCAGGCTTTACTTCTCACTTATCATTCATTCATTCATTCATTCAGGTCTTTCAAGACAGTCTGTAACAGCTCTGGCTGTCCTGGAACTTGCTCTGTACACCAGAATGGCCTTGAACTCACAGAGATCTGCCTGCCTCTGCCTCGTGAGTGCTGGAAGTAAAGGCATGCACCACTACTGCCCTGCCAACTTTTTTTTTCTTTTCTGAAGTAAGGTGAACTTGCTGTGTAGTTAACAGCAGACTCTGGTCGTCTGATCCTGCACCTCCTCAGTGCTAACATCACAGGCAGAGGCCTCCACACTCAGCTTGTGCCAGCCCTGCTCTATAGATAAGGAAACAGAAAGGCTAAGCAACTCGCTCAACTTCTGCAGCCGAACTCGTACGCAGCAGGGAGAGAGGATTTGGGCTGCCAGTCTTGCCGTCACCTTGGCACTCCGGCCTCCTCATCACTACCCACTGTAGCTAGCTGCCATTGCGAGGTTCCTAAATAGGCTCATGGATTCCCGTCCTCTCAAAGTATCCCTCCCCAGCTTAAGTGGGTTACTGCTTACTGCTTTGTTAATAAGTAGATTCTCATTTAGAATCTAATCTCTAGAATTCTAATCTTTTATGTTATTCCAGTTCTTTGTACTTTTGTTAGTGGTTCCTCGGCGGCTTCTTCCCTTCCTGTGATAGCTGAAGTTTGTAACAAACACCTACTTTGTTCTTTTCCATTTTAATTTAATTGGACACCATGGAGCCTATTGGAGGGCCCAAATTTCTTGGGCCTGGGAACAGTGAAGTACACTGACAGGGAAAAGGATAACATGGCCTTCTGAAAGAATTCTGAGAGCAGGGCCGGATCTGGGCCCTGGGTCTGGCACTGCTAAACCAATGCAGGCGAATGACTCCCTGTTTTAGACTGGTTAGGACAGGCTTGGGGCTGGATTATCTCCGGGTCCAGGCCCAACTTTGTTACTTCCTTGATGGGTCAGTTTGGGCAATTTCGACGTCTATAAAAACTGGAATGTCATAATACCTATTGGCTAGTATGGCTGTGAGAATTATAAATTAGATGGGCGGAGAGCTTAGCGGGGTGCCTGGCACACAGCAAGCACTCCAGCACGCCAGGGTTCTTAGCGTTACTATTATGGATGACAGAAAATCAAGGGGATCACGGCTGGGTATGAAGGTGTGTGCCTGAAATCTCCAGGAAGACCAAGGCAGGCTGACTGTTATGAGTTCGAGGCCTACTTGGGTTATATTAGATCCTGTGTCAAGAAAGGAAACAGAAAAAGATGGCTGACAACTGGGAAACTGTGGCGATCTTGGGAAGAAAAGGCTTTAAAGTACAGCTTGGACTGTCTTCTGGCCTAGCTCCAGTGATAGCACTGCAGTTCCTTGCTCATTTTGATCTAAGGTCTTTACCTAAAAGGTTCCAAGTTCCTTTATTTTTGCTCTTCTGTCTCCTAGCCGACCCACCGGGCCTCAGCTTATATGTGCTCTGCTGACTTTTAGCAGCAGTTGAAGCTGAAGCCTTGGGAGCACCAACCCATACCTGTCACTTTTGTCTGGACCCGCCAAAGGGGGCTTACACATAAAACAAAAAGGATTAAAATACCCCTTGGCTTTGTCTGGGTAGCCTGCATTCCCTGCCTTTACATGGCAGCTTTCGGGTACCGAGTGGTGCCAGCTACCCTACCCGTGGGAGGCCCTGCCTTGCTCCAGTGTGTACACCGTCTACCTCCATCGCTCTGTACTTCTTCCTCTTCCTACTGCCCCCTCTGCTGAGCTGTCTTTCTGAGTCTCCTCTACCAGTTTTTCTTTGACTTGCTTCAAGTTGACTCTCTGGGGTCTGACATTCCAAGCCCCCTACTGGTGTCTCTCATCTTTGTTTATCTCTTCCCTGCAGTCACCTCACCCTTCTTCACTGTTTCTTAGCCTGTTTATTAGATTTTCTTATCTGGCCTGTTTCTCACTCCCCCCGCCCCCCTTTTTTTCCAGTGTGGGTGTGTATCAGCCTTGTTGGGCTTTGGCAGCCTCCTGCCTAGCTCTGACCCTGGTCTGGCCTTCTGGCTTCCACCCAGTTCAAGCTGTGTCTTTGTAGTTGCTTTGGTCCAGAGTTCCCAGGGGTAAGACTGAGCAGAAGAGAAATGATGCCTGGCTCCACCAAGGAGTAAGGACAAGGCTAAGGAGTCCTGGCTCACAGGCTCCCACAGCCTAGAGCAGTATGTTCTAAAAATGGCATCAAATATACTGTCTCTTATGCCTTCCTCAGACACCATCACCTGGGTCTGAGTCCAGACCTACCCTGTCCTACCTTGTGCAAAGATGTCCGCTCCACTAGCTGGAAAGGCGCAGGATCAATTTTGCAGTCGCTGAAGTTGACAGGCTCATCTAGTTGCTGTTCTTCCCACTCTAAGATCTGACAGCGAGAGACCGATGATCAGGGAGAGGGAGCTCCTTTCAGCTCTCTGAAGGCTGGTTTGCCCCCTTTCCACCCTGTGATTGACAACACACCCAGGAAGAAGCAGTCTAGAGTCTAGAGCGGCATCTCACCTCCTGAGGACTCATCTCGCCTTCCAGGTCGGAGTCACTCTAGAAGGGAGGGAGGGAAGCGGATGTACTCCTGGCTTTGAGAGGTTTGTCCCACCTAGACCCCAGCCCTCCCAGCCTGGTGCGCCTGAGCTGAGGAAGAAGAGCACACATACCGCCAGGGAGATTCGGACCCGCTTCGGCTTGCGTTTTTCACAGGATTCCGACTTTTCCAACTTTGTCAGAGCCAAAGCAGAAAGGAGTTGAGGTTATGGGGAGAGGGGTGTGAAGGGCAGGATGGAACCAGGGAGAAGGGCGCACCGCAGGGGCAGACAGGAGGACAGGAGGCAGGCAGAGAGGAGAGTCAGGAGGGGAGCAGGGCAGGAGGGGAGCGCCTGGCCTACTCACTTCTGAAGAGGCCTCCTGAGGTGGACTGCCACAGAAGAGGCTTCTGAG